TTTATCAATAGTTGCTTCCTTTGCTTCATCATTTTCTCCAATAGTAACATCCTCAACCCTTGATTCCTTTGTCTCGATATTTTCTTCAATAGAAATTTCTTCATTGCATTGTTTCTTTGCCTCAACATTTTCATCAATAGATTTTTGAGATAATCATTTAAAATATCTCAACATATCTTCCTATAAATCAAACAAAGAATGCATAAATATAACTCACACATCATATTGTTCCATTGTCCGTATGCTCAAAAAGCATGTTCCGCCCTTCAAAGGTAATGATGTAAAATATTATAACAATATTTTTGCCAAAAAAGTTACCAATCAAATAAATTCTAGAATCCCGTGCATCATTTTTACCTTATGTCCACAAGCTCAAAGTATTATCAAGTAGTAACTTTTCTTATTGCAGTACCAACTAGAAGGCCAAAAGGGCTTACTAAATACTAACGGTCGAACACAATACAAAGAGTTTTCTACCATAAAAGCATATCCTAAGGGCATAACATTGACATTGAATTCAAAGATAAAAATGATAGCCGTACACTAGAAAGAAACTAAAACCTTAATGGAATAATTTGCGAGCACTAGATGGTAAATCCCTAATTGAATCAATAAAATGAAAAAGGGTTAAACCTCTGCAAGTGCCAGCTCTGTTACTTCAGTGACTAGAAGTACCTACATTTTATCTAGTAACTTAGGTTGAGCTCTATTGTCATATAGAGACAATGATCAACAATTAATATACACATGATGATCAAGAATCCTCCATTGACTTGTTTTCATGATAAATACTTGTGGCAGATTTAGCTTTCATAACTATATACATTCAGATAATAATATCAATTTACCAATTAGTTCATTGTATTACATGCCATTTCCCAAATACATCATTAATTCATTCTTCTTGCAAGGCAATACAGATTAATCCTCCACATATATGCAACGACTTCAACGATAATACCTGAATATCTTGCATGTTCCAAAAACTCCCAAAGGTACAATCATAAAACACATAAATAGTATACCTAACTCTCGTCTACCTTATATGGCACCATCAATTCACATATCCACACTATGATATACAAGTATTTGTGTGTGAACATATGATCAAATTTCTGAATTCGAATAAAACCAAAGTCCAAATCATCTCATTATATATCAAGAAAAAAACCTAACACCTGGTGGGCGCCATTAAATCAGAGGAATTAAAAGAAATCTCCAGCACCAAGGGACAC